ACAAATAATGAAATCTTTTAGCATCAGCATCAAATTGGGCAGCATGTCAAAGTGGATTCAGGTTGCTGATTGGTGGAGCTGGTCGGCCGTCATCTAGCATCAAATTATTATCAGTTTTTATCATGTCTTTGAAACAATTGTGAAAACGACTCGGAGCTCCAAGCTTTTTTTCTGAAACAGGTTGTTGTATGATGACTACATTCTCCTAATATTACAACTTAATTCTCTTAAAATTACAACTTTATTTTTGTAATATTCCGACTTTATTCTTGTAATTTTACGACTTTATTCTCGTAATATTATGACTTTATTCTTGTAATGTTACGATTTGGTTCTCGTAATGTTACGACTTTATTCTCAGAATAGAAAAAATAAATCTCTAGCCAGGCCCAAGTAAAAATAAAAAATAGAGCATGTATGCAAGAACCCGGTTCTTTAATCCAGAATGTTTTGTAAATCTGAAGGTTTCAAAGAATGTGTTCAAATATAAAAGCATGGATGATCTGCTTCACTGGAAAACATGCAGAGCTGCTCTATAGACGTCAGCACATAGAAGTGGATGAGAGCTAATATGGTTTCCCTTTTCGGTTCAGTGTTCAGTCTATTCATTCTCATAGGTGAGATTAGTTTTCAGTTTGTGTTTGTTTAATATCTTTTAGCTTAGTTTACGAGAGGGAAATGAAACAAAGCAAGTCATCAAATTAATAACTAGAGTCAAACTGTGCGGAGTCTAATCTCAAATATAAAACCCCAAATATAAAATATAAAAACCCATCAAGCTTTGAAAATGGCCCAGCACATGCAGTAAGCTGCAGAGAGTGACAATTATAGAAAACTGTTTACCCCGAACTGGACAAATCTTGCTAAATATTTATTTACTACCGGTGCATAGATGATAAGAGACAAAACTCCCAAAGCATGGGTTTAGAGAAGCAGAGTAAAAGCCTACGCCTGATTGCTCAAAAGAAAAAATAATATACATATATATCAAAAATAAAAAATGAAATACATAAAAACTTGTTGTTGTAACGTGATTAATTTAAATCTTCAGAGCCTCCATCTCTTAACAGCAAAAGATGTTTTTTTTTTTTTTTAGCTCAGTTGATCTCACATTAAACACGATCACCTATCTTTGTTTACAGGATGTAAGAAGCTCACCCAGCCCCTGAGGGTTGTGCATTACTGTGGGAAGCGTAACGGATCCTGGCCTGGTTCTCATGTTCCAGCTGCTTCACCTGTGACTCCAGCTTTGAGACGACTCTAGGAGGGATTTAAAGAGACATGGGTGGGATTAGATTAGCAGGAAACACCCACGGTTAATCTGTGTTTACATCCCAGAATGAACTAAGAGCGTCCTGCTGTAGAAATAAAAACACACTTGTTAAAACCAACAGTAGGTCACGTGGCAGCAAAGGATGGCTTGACCCAAACCTAAAGTTGCTTATTTTTCCTCTGTTCACAGAAGAAAACTTTCAGATCGAACAGGAACCATAGTAAAAGAGCATCAGACCTACGGTAGCAGAACACCGCTCACCTATTCAGCCTGACCAACAATTCCCATTAAAGACCCCCCTTTCAGACTCTTCATACACCCATCATACACAGACAGGTAAGAGGCATTGCAGGCTAACAAAAGAAGCTAAAGCCATTTGCTGTTTTCACGTTATTTTTCAGCTGTAGTGCATTACACCAGCAGATGGCGCAGTACAACAGGAACGACATTTGTGTTGCTGAAACTGTCTCTATCCTTTTTTTTTTTTAAGTCATCCCCAAGGTATGTAAGTCATAATTATGGTGGCCATCAGATTTAAACGAGCAGTAAACCAGGAAATGAGCTGCAAAAACATGTGTGATGCAAACTCCAAAATGCAAAAATTCATAAGAAAAATGTTGCAAACAGAATCAAAATTACCTGTAAACAGGCGAAAATATGCAGCAAACGGCCAAATGAGCTACAAACACACGCAAGATACCAACTCCTAAAAAATTACCTTTTTGCTGCTATAAACACAAGAATTTCCCCATCCTAGGACAATAAAGGGATTTTCCAATCTATTTTATAAATTTAGGTTCCTTGCAGTGGTAGCTGGTGGAGTTTTCTCCAGGGGGGCTATAAATTATAAATAGACGTATACTAAAAACCAATCTAAGTTATCACACCAGTACATTTATATGAATACCAAGAAGAAAAAGCATAATGAAAACACAATTTCATGCATAGGTTTACTTTTTGAGCATGAATGTTGCCCTTCTGAGGTTGTGTAAAGGCAAATCTGTGTTTTGCATGATCCAATATTGTGTTGCAAACCTAAAAAAAAATAAACAATGTGCCATTATCATAATGGAGAAGCTATTGGTCAGCTTTATGCTTTTTTAAATATATGAAAACTATTTTCTGAGAATTATGAGCAACTATACAAATTAACAAACATCCAGAAAAGGCATACTGTATTACGTTATTGTTCATGTGAATCCCAGATTGTTCATTCTTCTTGCCTTTGCTAAAAAGAGCTTTAAATCAGTCCTATCTGTCTTTATCCATGCTGGGTCAGATCCTGATGTTGACAAAGGAGGCAGGGAAAGCAGAATAAAGCCACATGCTGCTAGCCAAGCTTTCTTGCTAAACCAGGTCCTGAAAAAAGGGACATTTTTTGCACCATTTCTCTCTCTCTCTCTCCAATGCGTCTCCAACTCCCGTGACTTGAACTTTCAATCAAAACGTCAGCGCTGTGGGGTGAGGTGGTGATCAAATGCACTTCCTGTCACTTTCTGTGAGCTATCCTATACCTGTATTGCAGAGGAGCTACTGCGCATGTACAACTTTTAACGAGAGTCTGTGGGCAAAGATTCTTGCACCCTAAGGCGGAAATACGTCACCAATCCGACGAAAAATAGAATGACGCTTTACTAGTCATTAAAGATTAAATATTTATCCTACCCATCTAAACATATATAGATAGATATATTTTGAAATATTTTACAGTATTTAAAGTATATAAAAAAAAAATCATTATTATTCTTTTTATGTCTTAATCAGGGTCATTTGGTGTGGGGCGGCGCCCTCTAATGGACAGCCACCACTGGTTCCTTGTCCTTAGAACGGGATCTGCATATTTATGAAGGAAAAACACGCGGTCTGCTCAACTGTACCTGCAAATCACTTGAAAAAGTCCAAAGAACTTTGCAGGTTTTTAAAATACACAAAAACCTTAGTTGAAGGACTGAAGCGTGAAGCCTGTAAGTACATTCCTCTTCTTTTAACTGTTACATTCATAATATTTTCTGTCTAAAGCAGGGCTCGATGTTAACCATCATCCGGGGCAAGTAGTTTTTATTGCTGGGATAGTACAAATTTTAAAAAAAATTATTTATCACTCAAAAATACTTTAAAATCACTGACATTCGATGAAAATGACCCAGAAGCGTTGCCGGCGGCATTTTTGTTGTTTTGTAAACATTCTCGCGTGATTTGAAAAAGCCTGGTGATTTTCTGCCAGATGGCGTGATTTTTGTCCACCTAGCGGTAGTTTTGATGTAGTTACCAAAACTACAAACAAGCTAGAAAGCGCTAATGTACCTGTGTTTCTGTATCATTTTATTCGCATAATCACTCAAAAATCACCTACATTCGAAGAAAACGACCCAAAAGCGTTGTCGGTGCCAAATTTGCTGTTTTGTACACATTCTCGCGTGATTTCAAAAAGCTGCGTGATTTTCCACAAGATAGTATGATTTTTGTCCGGGAACTGGTGCGAATCACACAAATTTTTTTCGACTTGGCTGGCTAAAAAACAACAACAAGGCAAAAAAATGTAAATACAGTAACACACCCACCACCTATTTTACCCTGCACCCATTTCACCCACCACCCACTTGTTTATGGGCAAATTAAATGTGAAAAAAGGTAAAAATCCTTAACGTCAACCCCTGTAAAGAGTCCACCTCTATTTCAAACGTATATCAAAGGGTGCACAGCTACATAAACCCTTTTGAAAATCAATCAATCACCTCACCTCTTCAGCTCAGAAATCTGGTCGTTTGCGTCGACCAGCTTGCTCTCTGCAGACACCAGGTTGTTCTGCAGAAATAAGGAAACCATGTGAAGTTAGTGTTAGGAAGGAGGCTGGCAGAAAATATAAATGAATCAAGGTTCAAGTTAAATCTAACGGATGCAGTGATACTGTAAAGCTGGATTTATCATGGATTCCTAAACTTGTGCTCTAGCATCAGAGAAGAGACTTTACCTTTACTGCGTCATGCTCCTTCATCAGAGAGTCGTATTCTTTGAGAAGCTAAAGGAAAAACATTGAAGGATTTAGAAGTCGTTTATGTTTGAAATAAATAGATTCTCTTCTCCAGGTGTAGAGTTGGGAATTGATGAGATTTTAACGATTCTGATTCCCTTATCAATTCAGTGAAACAATTCGATTCTCTTATCGATTCTCGTCACAGTCATCTAAATCTAATGGAGAAGGCATCCGTTTAATGAAAAAGCATTACTGTACAATTTGAGGAAATAAACTCATCTCCCCCTGATTTAAATAAACGAGCGCCACCTTTCTCTCATTCCCTGAACTGCAGAGCAACTTCGTAGCATGTTTAATAACCCCAAAGAGAGGTAGGAAACTGGTTTATTTCCAGAAATAGCATATGATTAACTAGGAACCACATTTAGCACAGCCAGTGATATAAAACTAGCTTTAACACGGAACCGGTTCACGGAACGGTTTTCGATTCCGATCCCTATTCAGGTGTAAATTTTTCTACATCAAGCACATTTCATATTTAATCTCAAGTGTACCAGACTCACATCCTGCAGCATCTTGTACTCTCGTTCCCTCCTCGCCTCCTTCTCGTCTGCCTCTCTGCAGGCCTTCTGCGCCGCCTCCTCCAGCTGCCGCACGCGGCTCTTCAAACGCGCGGCCAGGCCTTCTTTGTCTTTGGCCGAGCGTTTGCTTTCTTCCAGTCGCTGCTGCAGGGAATTCACGGCGGCTCCTGCCACGGCGTAGCGCTCCGGCCATTCAGCCTGAGAACAAAAAAGGACTTCATCAATCCTTACGTTTTTTGCTTTTTATGTAGGAGAGAAGCAGGATTTATAAAACCATCAGAATTTAGTATACAATACTCTGATACCAGGTGTTTCTCCAGCAAGATGTTTCTTGCCTCCAGTTCTTGAATGCGACACGTTGCCTCAGCCAGAGCTTTTTCTAGATGTTTACACCTGTGGATAAACAACCATCAATAAGTGAATCCAAACAGCAGCTTGGTGCCACATGGACATATTTCAACCCTAAGACTTTTAATTAATATTTTCAGTAGATATTAATTTTTTGAAGAAAAGTTTTCCTAAGTCTAAGTTAATAATAATATTCCTATTCCCTTGTTCCATGTGTGCCATTCTACGTTAGTGGTTGACCGGTTCATCAGGCAGCCGGTATTTGTGACACTAGCAGTTTTTTGTATCTGCGTAGATTTGTGAATGCGTTAGCGAGTAAAGCAGCCATGCCTTGAGAGCAAATGAAGAGAATGCATTGCTGCTCAGTAACAGCTGCTACTTTGTTTTGTTTAAACTCAGACCTGTGTATCATTTGTTATCGCTGTATTTTTGTTATCCTGTAAATGAAGGAAGGTAGAGCAATATCAACTTAAAGCGGGCATACAATGTACGATTTTATTCAATCGCAGCTACAGCTCACACAAAACCGCAGGGTTTAAAAGTTCACAGCTCACGATGCATGTTCTCACACTGTGCGACCCGATGCTCTGATGCGATCTACCTGAAGCCAAACAAGAGGAAAAAGACGGAAGTGTCGATGCCTCCTGTTAAATATAAAGCTCAGTGAAACGTGCTGCCTTGACAATTTGTGCAATTTTGTGCTGAAAGCCCTAAAAAGAAACGGCGACGACGTATTTGGACAAAGAAATGGCTGAGCAAATGTGGCTACTACGGTCTGTTAATTTTAATTTTGTTAATTTTACAGAAAGAACTTAATTTCCCTCGCACCCCTGCCATGCTTCTGTGTGTTCATCTGAGAGGAAGAAGAAGAATCCTTGTTTGTGCACTGAGTGATTTTCCCATGACCATCTTACGACCGACTGAACTGAACATGTTTGATTTTCTCCCGACCTCACGATTCCTGATTGGGAGGTGGTCATGAGAGGCTGATCGGCCCTTGTTACCGCCTGTACACTACACGATGCACAATCAGGCTGAAAGTCGGTCCGATAAAAAAAATTCTTGCACGAATGGAGAATCTGCCTTGGATGGCCAAAAAATCTTACGCCTGGATTTAGACAATCAGTCAGCAGCACATCCATCAGTTAGATAGCTAGAAGTCAAAATAACTGGTATTGGTCTTAAAGGGGTAAAGTCTCATCATATTTTATTTTTTACAGTTTTACGCCACTAGCTCACTCTGGTTTCATACATTTTTATTAGACTCAGACAGACTTTATTGTCATTTTATTGTCATTTTGTACACAGAGTGTATATAAAAAGAATTTTCTTTCAGTACAGCTCTCAAGACATTTCCATTTCTAAAGTGCAGCAATGATAAAATGTAAACATAAGATTGTTATATGATTTACAGATTCCAACATGCAGCACTTTTTTATTTTTTTATTTTTTTTAATGAAAGACAGCCTCGTCCTGTCAGCATATCAGTTGTTATTTTTGTGTGTCACCTAGTCTTTTTGCTACATTTTTTTCAGAGAAAAACACTCTAAACCCTTCACCCACTTTGTTTTAGTGTTTATAACAACAGCGGTGCAATAGTGAAGGTAGAAAACTGGGAATGTGCTGAATGGGAAAACAAGTAAGTAATGAAGCTAAGCCAGTTAGCACATCCTGAAGTGTGGAAATAATGAAGAAAAGTCAGAGAGTGTGAGAAAAGCACACAAAAAAGGAAAAATGCTGGGTAGAATGAGGAGGAAGCTAAAGCTGGATGGATGGATGGACGTTTCTCACCTATGTTGCAGTTTGTCTTTTTTCTTAGGAACAATATTTTGTCTTTTTTCTCGATAAGAAGCTCTGGGGAGGATTGATTAGAAATCAGATTCGCTGTCGATCAGTTTATTTAATTAAATAGCGGTTGCTCTTTGACCAGCAGAACAACAGTTCTGTGGTTCCGCCAGCAGATGGCGACACCCATGTATATATCTGCTCAACACACCCGGTGCTGGAATTCTATTTAGGCTTAAAAAAGGACTATATAAAATCGATAAGGACGGAAGCTCGGTGTATATTAACTTATTTTATCAGCAAACAGTTTTTGCTAGCAGACCTCAATCAGTTCATTTCTACATTTCTGTTTAATAAACCTTGTTTGCAACCAGAAAAACAAAGCAGTGATGTGAATACACACAAACCTTTCTGTGAGCGCCTGATTGCTCTTCTCTAAATCCTGAGGCAGATCTCTGAGTTTGAGTTTGTCTCGAAGGAGCTGAATCTCAGACTCGTAGTAGGCTTTCAGATCAGCTATGTGCCGGGAGTGCTTCTCTCTGAGGTTCTGCCGCAGTCTGGGAAACAAACAGAAAGAAAAACAGGATGCATTAGATGTAGGACATCTCACTATTTCCTCACGGGCATCTTTCTTCACACCAACCCTACATCATCCCTAGCAGCTCCACATCTAACATCCTTCCTCTGGATTATAGCCATGATTCTTACCTCCTGGGGGTGGGGTGAGAGAGCCTCAGTGTATCTAATGGGAATTTTATCATCCAGATCAACAAAAAGATGTTTTTCACTAAGAAAATATATTTAAAAAAAATGCTTAATTCAGCCTTGTTTGATATTAGAGGACAAAATAAAACCAGTTAGTATAAAAGTGTGCCTGAATCACTGTTCTGAGAAGACCTTAAATTAGCAAGAGAACATAAGAGAACAATCATCTTGATTAAAGACCAAGGAACATGATAAAAACTAAAAAAATTTTTTTAAAAATCCGACAAGCATAAAAACTCACAGATCACTGGAACGCAAAGATGGCCATTCATAAGGCGATATGGCCTAAACTTCAATCACCATATAATTCCTATTGATACAAAATTATTTAAATATAAACAAAATAAACGTCAAATTTTTCAAGGGCCAAGAAATTCCATAACAGCACACATCAATTTTTAACAACCAGGCTGATTAAAAGTATCAAGCTGATCCTGGTTATAATTAGGGCTGCAACGATTAGGCGACGTTGTCGACAAAAATCGATGATAGAAATTGTCAACAATGAATTCCATTGTCGACTATTGTCGCCAGACGCGTTTTTCCAACAGAGTGAGGCATCTCACTTGATTATGATCTCTGCCGAGAGTCGCTCAAGCGCAGTAGTGTCTCTGTCTCTGAGCGGTAACATACAAATATGGCGGCGTCAATATCAGGTACGCGTACCAAGACTTCTAAAGTTTGGGAGCATTTTAGCCTGGATACGGCGAATAAAAAGATTACTTGGAAGGTTTGCAAAGCAGACCACGCAAATATATGGCGATATAATATATCTGACGAAATTGTTTTTAGACACATGTTTTTTTATTTCAATAAAGCAGTTTAAATGCCAAGATAATCACATTTAATGAAATGTAATGCCAATTAAGGCCTTAATTTAAAAAATAATAATTTTACGACTTTTAATGTTTTTTTTATGACCCGCAGAAACCCTGATAATAAATCAATCTGGAAACAAAATAAATCTTTTCAAATATCTATTTAGTTTCACTTCTTTGTGACATTTATTCAATAGAATATTTTTTAATAATTATTTTAACTTATTGTAGAGATGCACCGATCTTGTTGTATTTCTGACCCAATCAATATCTTTCAGAACCAGACATTTCTAATTTATTCATGTTTTTGTTCATTCAATTTTAAATTAAACTGCTCTCCATATTTCAAGCATTATAACTGTTTTATTTTTAAGTAATGTTCTCAACACTGCTGACTCAGTACGGCTGAGAACAAGTGGAAAAACAGCAGAAGACCTTTCACCTTCCCAATAAAAGACACCAGTTATTTTTATATTCTGTGTTTTTAACTTAAAAGAAGAATGAGACTCACAAAGAAAGGACAACAGGATCCTCCAGGGATGAGGCTCTGTTCATGTGAGGGCTGAGCGTAGCACCAGGGGCCGTAACGGGCTTCAGGGTGCTGGTGTGGGTGTGACTTCCCTCTTCTTCACTGGCTAGTGGGGCACTAGCTCTGCGCTGCTTCGTCTTATCTCTGGAGGAAGACAAAACTCTATTTGCTGTAGTTCCCCGGGAACTTTGGGTCTTAGCAGGAGAGGGTCCCGCAACAGACGCACTGGACGCATCAGAGATGCAGTCTGTGTCTCCAGGATGGGCACCGCTCTCCACCATGCTGTCAGGGGTGATGGAGGTCCCCAGTCTGGGGTAGGGATGAGGCTGAGCAGCAAACGACGGGCTGCTGAAGTGTGAAGGTGAGGTGAAGCCGGATGTTCGATCTGATTGCTGTGCGTTGGCCGTCGGGTCCAACGTCAAGACCTCAGGAGGAGAATCACAGGGTCAAAGGGGGTGAAGGGTTTAGACTGAGTTATAAGTGTTGTTCTCTGAAGCGAATACCTGCGGAGATAACGGGCTGGATGTAGCAGAACCTTCCCAGTCGGTTTGTTTACAGTCTTTTTGCTTGTTCTGGTAGATCTCTCTGAGGGACAGCTGTGGGTCCTGGGGCGGGGTCTGCAGGACACGGAGAGGAAAAAGCTCAAACCTCAGCTTCTGATTCCAATAGAAAAAAAATGAGTTTCTTTATAACTTTGTCTTTTTAAACCACTGCTGTGTTTAGAACCATTTGATTTTTTGTCATGCTTAGAGGGTCCTGCTTCAGGTAGTTTCCCTTAAATGTTTTTCGGAAGCATCATTGCTAACCAGTTAGCAACTCAGTGCTAGTAGTTTCCCAATAGGAAATTCCATTGGGACCAAGTAGCACTAAA